CCCCAGAAACAAACAGGATGGCTTCACTGGTCAATTCTTTACATGTACAAACACCAAAAGCAGAGGAAACGCCCCTAGGCCCCCCCTCCTCCCCAAACCCAGCGCTGGGAGAGCAGTCGACGGGGAGGCTGCTGGGACCGGAGCTGCGGGACTGTACAGCTTTCCTGGAAACTTCTTTGGCCTCTGGGCTTTACCTGGAGGCCTCTTCCTTCAGCTTCTTGTTTTTCCACACCTCTTCCGCATGCTTGTCCTGGGAAGAAAGGGAGGGACAAGGCAGGTCACACAGGCTGCCCGGGCCTAAAGGAAGGCAGAGGGGTGAGAAAAGGGCAGCACAGGATGGCTATCAGGAACAGCAGAGCAGTGTCGGCCAAGGCGTCCTGGGAGTGGCAGAATGCAGCAGGTGAGTGAGCCCAGGGACAGGTGGGTCCCAGCCTCCCGCAGGGCCCCCAGCCTCTTTCCCCCTTATCTGGATACTGTGACCGCTGGACTGGCAGCTTGGCTCGACTTATTATAGGGAGCTGCTGGGGTAGCTTGTGCGAGAGGAGCCCCTAGGAGAGCAGGACCACTGCAAGCCGCACCTACAAGTCACCAGTCTGCGCCATCTGCCTGAATTCCTGGTCCATTCCCCTTATTGCTTATTGCCCACGCCCCTCTGCCTCCTTCACCTGCTTTCTTATGGTAAGAGATCCTTCATTTGTAATTCAGCCCAAAGGCAGGCCCCGCCCTCTGCGGCCCGCCAGCTGCATGGCCAGCTACATGGCCAGCTGCATGGCCTCAGCTGACTCCTCAAGGTGGGCCACATTCTCTGATCATGGCCGGGCCTGGAGGGTGGCTCTGGCACCTCCTGAGCTCTGTGAAGGCAGTGTCCACCTGCAGTGCTGCATCCTGCCTGCCTCATGCTACTGCTCACTGTGCAAACTTCCAGACCCTCTTGTCTTCTAGTTTGTATTTCCCACAATGGCACCTTGCATTTGGCAGGCACTAGGTAAATGACCCGCCTTCCAGTCCCTGGTATAATCACATTCAAATGGCAGAATTGACTGGAAGTAGACCCATTGAGGCAACCCAGGCTTCCAAGCTAGACCTTAATCTAGAGCTCTGTCCCTACAGAGGACCTGGAACTTCCCATGGGTTGGAGGCAGAGAGCAGTGTAGATCAAGCAGTGGTTCTCAAACTCTACCATGTGTCAGCATCACCTGGGAACCTCTATGGTCCCCAGAGACCAACCCTAGAAAGCCATGGTAGTAGGTGTGTGGCAGGGTCCAAGTATGTGTAGTTTTAAACTTTG